TCTTAAAATATGTTTACAACCTAGAGTATTATTCCATACATAGTTTTTGACATTGAGTTTTGTTATTCTGTATGCATCTAAATTCGACAATCTTTCCATGTCCCTGAACTGAAAACATCAGCAACAGCAATTCTGTCATAACTATTTAATTGTTGCTTTTGACTTCCTTAAAGGAGCTATACCCGTTTCTGCAAGGTTTCTTTCAGTTTGAAAGTTTAGCACCGCCCCCTAACTCGCCCACAGGTCTCTCATTTCCCCTACGCTCTCATTCCACGGAGCAATCTAGTTTTATTTGCGATCTGAGACATATGCAAACATTAGCATTAGCACAACTTCTTGTCAGCTGTACAACAATCACTGATGAAATGGTACAAAAAGCAACTGTAAACAAAATATATAACTGAAAGATTACCGCTAGTTTCATGTCCGAGGCGGTCTATGGAAGATTTTTTGTGTCATCAGATTTTGAATTTTTATTAGCTTGAATTTTTCCATTTGAAATGTTTAACCCTGAAAAAGCATGTTTGAATATTTTCATCTTTGCATTTCAATCACTAAAAATTCTGTTTATAAATTTCAATGTGATTAAAATTTCAAAATGACATTTTCACCTTCAAAATATATAAAAAAAAAAAAAAATTCAATGAAAAAATTTCCATCAGAAATTGAACTTTAAATGGACCTGAATTCATCTATTTGAATGTTTTTAACATCTTTCAGTCACTGATAGTCAATTTCATAATGTTAAATTCAACAGTCAAAATTCAACGAGAAAAATGTCAATGGTGAAAAAAGGAAACGTGACACATCCGGTGTTCTGACGAGTTATGTGCTCTGTTGGTCTGCGCATGCGTCATTTTACTGAGGTAAAGACAGGCGTAGCTTTCAGCAGGTTCATCGGTTGATAACATGAATCTAACAGGTTGATATGGGATTTCTAATGAATGGATTGTAATGAAACCAAGGCGAATAACAAGATGATACTACATTAATTTGATGAGTTAGTCTTTTTTGGTAAATGTGCTCGTTTCAAATCATTATTGCTGTATATTCCTGTTTATTTATTTAGGCTGTGTGTGTTTGTTTGTGTTCATGAAAACCATCACATTTGAACATTTATAGCAACAAAGGACAGTGTATTACACAGTATTTGGGTCTAGTTTCCCGTGTAGAAGTTTCCACAGGGCTCACTCGTGTTACTTGAAAAAGAGCTCCACGTAAAGGAATTAACAAAAGACATGTATTCCACAGCTCAAACTCTTGTACACTAAATGATATTTGCTGAGTTGTCTCTGAAATAAAGTAACAACGGTAAGAACACCGTATGTCCTTATTTCTTGAGCTGTGAAAAGTTACGTGCTCTTTCGGCTCCACTCGCTCCGTAAACAAAGGAAATCTCTCTCTCTCTCTCTCTCTCTTTGAGTGACGGTAATGTAAATATTCTAAGTTAACAAAATCTCCATTAGTTCTAAAGGGTCTAATGTAGATAACGAGAGATTCCAACGTCGGTGAAGAGAAAACAGAGTTCATTATGCGCAGACCAACTGACAGACCAACCGACAGACCAACTGACAGAGCACATAACTCAACACCGGATGTGTCATGTGCATTTTTCACCATTTAATTTTTTCTCGTTGAATTTTGACTGTTGAATTTTGACTGTTGAATTTTGACTGTTGAATTTTGACTGTTGAATTTTGACTGTTGAATTTTGACTGTTGAATTTTGACTGTTGAATTTTGACTGTTGAATTTTGACTGTTGAATTTTGACTGTTGAATTTAACATTATGAAATTGATAGTCAGTGACTGAAATTCACAGAAAAAAATATTCAAAATGTTAAAAACATTCAAATAGATGAATTCAGGTCCATTTAAAATTGAATTTCTGATGGAACAAATAATCCGTCTTTTTTTTTCCATTGAAAAAAAAAAAAGTGAATATTTTGAAGGTGAAATTTTTATCACATTGAAATTTGAAAACTGAATTTTTAGTGACTAAAATGTAAAGATAAAAATATTCAAACATGCTTTTTCAGGGTTAGAAATTTCTAACGGAAAAATTCAAGCAAAAAAAAATTCAAAATCTGATGACACAAAAAATCTTCCATAGCGGTCCAGCATGCGCAGGTCTCTCCAGCGAGGACACGATGTACTGTATGCTAACATCGTATGATCACCCGGGCTTGATTTCTTCTCTGATAATTTTTTTTGCTTTAGTTCCCTCTTCTCTTCCTCACTGTTTTTTGGGCTGTTTTGCTGTGTCTGCTGTTACAGCAAGAGGAGCTGTAGCCACTTTCTGTTAACATGCTGCTGTGTTTACCTGCACTGCAGACGCTAGAGGAGGAGGCCTGTTCGTAACAGCGCCGCTCCTCGTTCTGTGGTTGGAGGAGAGCGGGCGTCACGCTAAGTCTCTATTCAGCCTGAGTTCATACATAGTGATTCTAAAAACTTGGAATCACTGAGCAGTTTTAAATGAAATTTTGGATTTGAATACAACTTGTATGTAGTAATACGCATTTTTATGAACTCATTAGAAAATAAATCAGGTATAGCTTCTTTAATCAGGAGTAACCTTGAAACATTTAACAAAATCAAATCCAATCCAATAATATCCATGTAGCACTCTCGCGTCTCAGCAAGAAGGTCCTGGGTTTGAATCCCGGCCACAACAACTGTAAAGTGCTTTGTGCACTGGTCTATAAATAAAGATGACCCATTTGCTTAATAGTCTTTTGCTTTTGGACCAGTTCAGTTAAATCAAGATATTTCACATGCATCTATTTTTGGTCTCAGTTACATTGTAAGAGCCTTTTCACTCAGAACATATTTATAAAACCAAAAAAGTTAGTGACTGCAGCTTTCATTTGTATTCTGCACACATCTTGCTCGCATAACTGACATTCACATTTCATATCTCAATCTGCCTTTTCCAAAAGTCCCAGAGTTATCTATATTTCAGTTACATATTAAGCCAATATTTTTTGCTTACATATTTCATAAGGGCTAATTTTAAATGCAGCGGAGAAGCCCTGCAGTTGGATCTGTTCCAGTTCATTTCACCCGGAGCCTGTGTGGACATCTTGTGGTTCCGTGAGAGCGTGAGGAAGCCCTGTGTCATACCCTTATGGCCTCATAATGTGTGCAATGACTCACTAAGACTTATGGTCTTACATTATATACTTGGAAAACTTTAATGGGGTCATATCATTCATAATCTAATGAGCCTTCACCCATGGTGTATTGTCCCTCACCAGTTTTACGCAGAGCTGTATTTAGGTTGATTCATGCAAGTTTGAGTATTGTGCTGGGTTCAATAATTGACTTTTGATATGTTTTCTTCTGTTTTCAAATTCAGAAGGCATACATAAGCACAAAAACACATATTCACAGGCTCAGGACACAACATATCTTTCATGAAACACATGAATTGTATAACTCAAAAAATAGAGTCAGGGACAGGGGGAGACCGGTTCACAGGTGCAGATAAAATAGGCTGTATTTTTCATGAGGAGAATTGAGTATACAGTACATGCAGAGCAAAGGTGAACTTACAATCCTAAAAAATATGTGGGCGGCAATGGATTGTTTTCCATTGAGTGGAGGAATCCATATTCTCTACCATGAAAACACTGAACGTTTTTCACAATATTCAGTCATTCTGTTGTCGTGCCTGATCTTTTATTTCTGTGATAATTACATATATATCAAATGTATTAATGCATTAAGAAGCCAAAACATCTGCTTATGAGCAGACCTCAGTGTTTACATTTGAGAGTCGACACACCGGCGCCCGAAAAAGAAGCCGGGGGTTGGAGTCGTAGAGATCATTGGTCATATTGTTGCATGTGTTTTAGGTTTTCAAATCATGTTACTCTGGTATAAGACCAGGGGCTTTCATTCATTCTTGGTCTTTCTGTCTTTCCATCCTTGCCATCTTGCAGGAGACCCAGGTTATGAAGCTTAGCCCGTAATTTGCCTTTATCTGTTTTTATACATTAAATCTTCTTTTTTTTATATCAAAGCAGAGTCTGATCATTTCCATATCACTATCACTGTTTGTGCGGGAGGGAAACCAGTTAGGCCACATCGATTATTTGCCACACTGTATTTAGGTTTATTTTGACTTCTTTGACGTTTTTTGTGGTTTTGTTTTTTGGTTCCACTTCCTGTCCTTGTTTCCTGTTTCCCTTGTGTTTATTATCTGTGCCTTGTTCTCTTCCCCAATTGCTCATGGTAAATCGTCTATTGTCTGTTCCTGGTTCCCGTGTTCCGTTTGGATTTTTGAGATGGTTTTCCATCAATAAATCATGTCATTTTGGAATTAATGCATTTTTGTTTTCACCACATGACATCATATTTTAGAAACAGAAAACTTTAGTTGTGTGCATGACTGAATGTTGTGAACTTCAGTATTTCAAACACTTGATTTTACAGTACTTGTTGGATATTCTTTTTTGTCCATTTACTTTTGTCTTGCCTTTTGTATTGATTTATGCCTGGATCTTTTTTGTTGGTTGCAGAGGACATTTTTATCACTGTAGTTGGGGCATTTTTTTTGTGTGAATTGTCGTCATATGGCAAATAAAGACAATTACATTACAGACTTGTTTTAAATGACTTTTCCAAGTTATGTCCCTTAGTACTCATTCAAAAATAGTTATCTTTGAAGTAACCCCAACACGCCCAGCATCCACCTGACATTCTTTGAGCTGTAACTTCACGCCTGCAGCCAATCCTTCGGCGTTCCTCTAGTTCCTGCACGGTATTTCACCGTAATGTGCGGCTATTCGTTTTATGGCCATGGATTCTCAATTATTCAGACAGGGATCCATATCGGGTGTTTTTTGTGTGTTGACATGAGCTAGACAAAGGTGAGAAAATTGAATGGGGTTCTTGTATTGTTCGGTAAAATATTCATCTTGCTGTTATTTTGTCCGTGTACGAGAGCTGCACCTGCTCTGGCCTTGAGAGCAGAGGAAAAGACGGCGCAATAAGAGCATGGATTCTATTATAGTGCTGGCGGAGGAGGGCAGGTTATCGTCCTCGACTGCACCGGCTCGGATCTGCAGCCGAGAGGTGCGATATGGAATCTCACATAGGTTAAGCCAGAAGGTGAATTCACTTTGATATATCTGGTGTTATGAAAAATCTCAAAGAAAAATGCAAGGAAGATGTATTGTGTCTCTGCTACACGATCACTATATTTTAAAAGCTTAACTGGACGGTAAAACTGCAGAGTAGAATTTTAAATGAGGATATTACCCTAAACTTCTTCATGACATAGTCCATCAGAGAATTACTGTCTTAAATTCAGCTGTTTTATAAATATTTTGATCAGAAAAAAATAGCGTCAAGTTTCCAAATATCCAATCTCAAGTTAAATCAAAGTAATCCTTTGGTCAAAATTCTTCAATAATGTAAAATTTATATAAATGAAATCCTCAATCATGTATGTGTGGGCTGGAACAGAGGGAGCAAGTCCACAGGGAGAAGGTCTACATAGAGCAGGCCCACAAGGAGCAGGCGGAGCAGGTCCATAGGTTTCAGGTCCACAGGGAGAAAGTCCAGGGAGCAGGTTCATGGCTTCAGTTCAGTAAAGGTCTAGACCTGGTTCATCGCTTAGAAGCTTACAAAGGCTTCATCGCTCCAGGGATTACTGAAAGACGTGAACTACCCCACCACAAGAGTTCACGAAGGAACAAAGATGCAATTGTTGTATCAGATGTGGTGAAGTGGTGATGAGTCAAGAAGAAAAGAAACATGGGGATTCAATGGGGAAGAGAAAGGCCTCGGCAAAGGTCCAACACACAAACTTGTTTTCCTTGAGACATGGGCTCCATCCGCAGATTTGTATTTCATTATCACCTTTTAAAATGTTTCTTCTCTTAAATATAGTATTATTACTAAACTTTTTCACAGACACGTGGTTCAGATAAAAAAGACGACAAAACAAAACTCCCCAGGCCAGAGGTGAAGGTGGGCCGAGACTGGATCTTCATCATGTGTTGTATGAAGTCTTTTGTGTGGTAGACTAGCAGGCATGAGAGAGCTCCTCCTTATGTCCTGATTAGAAATAGGCAAATCGAAATACAACATTTAAACTCTGGGTGTTTTTGTATTAGAACGCTTAGGCCCAGTTTAGACGGAGGCGCTGCGCAGACGTTGCCAGCTCATTGTAAACCCTAACTTCAATCTTACTTCAGATATCATAGTTATTTTAAATAGATTTTTCCCAGTAAGTGAATATTACTCATTTATTGTTAGTTTATTTAAAGTTCGGCTATATCATTCAGGGTTTCCATTGAATTGAACCGTCTCTGTTCAAGAGAGCCTCACTTTTGACATTTTGACGTGTAGAGTCTATTGTAGACAGGGTGGCCCGGTGGCTGAGTGGGTTTCACCATCACCTTTCAACTGCAAGTATCTAAGTTCAAATCCCAGCCGGAGCATGAGTTGAAATTTAATATTTATTTCAACCACTTGAGTTTACTTGGTGATATCAAGTAAAGGTTGTACTCGAAGAATTCAAGTGAAGTTAATGCGCAATTTATTTCCATGGTTTTTTCAAGTAAACTTTACTTGTCAGGGTTTACAGTGAGGCTATTAACAGAAACGGCCAGGCTCCTGATGAAAATTTCCCAGCGTTCATACGAGGATCAACAACGATGTAGTTCTAGCACCCAGCCAGTAGTAGGCAGAGGATCTTTATCCCCCCCCCCCCCCCCCCCCCCCCACAGCAGTTGCAAAAATAGAAACTGTCCCTAGAGCTTTGCGTGGTTTAGTTTGGACGAACAAAGGTGTAGAATTATCCTCTGTGTGGCGCTCGAAGCACAAGTAGCTAGTTAGTGTACCCGCCGCCGTTGTTGTTTACGTTTGTTCTTTGCTACTGCGCATGTCCAAATTTACGTGCGGGGAGCAGCGGGGAGGTGGGGGTCAGATCAGAAAGGGAATTCACACCTTTTTCCTTACGCAGGTGTGAAAGAGAGCCCCCGGTGAGCAGCGTATCTGAGCTGTCCCACTCTGCAGGCTGGATCTGAACATGTATGTTTTCACCCCCTGGAACACAGTCTCCGTATGAACGGGGGGTAGCAACCGACATCCAACTATAGCGTTTTACTGCTGCATTGTCTGCCTTATATTAGGGAATATACCTTTTTGATTTTAACCTTTTGAGATAGAGTCATTTTTATAAGGGATTTTTGACACTCAATTCAGCCGAAAAATACACACAATAAATATTCTGTATATCAAGTTTCTAAAGACAGCACCAAAAGTCAGTTAGAACTGTTTCACCAAATGATGCCAGCCCGAGTGTCACCTTTGGGGCAAACCCTGATTTACATTCACTCGTTCTGCTTTTTACGATATAATCAGGGGATGAAAAAAAAACAAATTCAACTTCATTAGAAGAAGAAATTCCATACACGGCTTTAATAACGGCTGATCAATGTGCTGTTCGAATTAGCTCGTTTGTGTCACTGATGTTATTTTGCAATCCCTTCTGTGTCAAGTTAAAAGAGAAATATAACTGCAATTTAAACACTTAAGAAGAGACAGCAGTATTATCATTAAGTGCAGGGTATTGTATTGTACTTATGCCGCTGCTCATGCCCAGTGTACACAGATGAATGAAGTTAAGTGTTCTGTATTGGAATTCAATAGAGAGGGAAGGCCATCGGAGACCAGCCGGGCCCACAGCAATATCACAGGATTTTTGCACTAATTATTTCCCGCCGAGACGCAGGTTCTGAGCGAAAAGGCTGAGTGTCCGCGCTGAGACTTGTATAACTCATTTATTATGGATATCAATAATCGTTACTGAGACAAATGTGAGAACGTCTCCTGGTGTTATTAAAATGTCATAGCAAACAAGTACGACAATTGCTCTCGTGTTTATCAAGACGCATTGTTTTCCATATGTGGAGCAATGCTGTTTGTGGTGGTGGTGACTACAAAAGGCATGGAGAGAAACGGCACAAATGACTGTTATTAGACATTTTAGATTTTTGTGTGAATGGAAAAAATCTTTTGTTTTTAGTCTGTTTTTTTAATTGTTTTTTTTGTCTTCGGTGTCTTTGGTTGTCCCTTGTTTGTCCTTGCTTTGTGTTTATTTGTTATGCTTATATTCCTGTTGTCTGTCTGTCTTGATTTTATATTGTCCAAAAATAAATGAATAAACTGAAATGAAATGAAATAAATTAAAATTGCGTTTAGGTACTTTATTTCCTGCTCCAATAACGTATCAATAAAAGTGGTTCTTGCTATGAGCTGTAGCAGTAATACCCAAACTTATGGCACAGCCTGCATGCGGCAGCCACAACCCGTCACACTTCTGATGCTAAACAGGGCAGGGCCTGGTTAGTACTGTGATGGGAGACCTCTGGGAACACCAAATGCCACAGTGGGGCAGCTGTACCTGAATTGGAACTGATTCCCTCAAAAAAAACTCCCCAACGAGGACAAACGTTAGGAAGAAAATACCGTAATAAATACAATTCAATACAATTTATTCTTGTATAGCCCTAAGTCACAACAGAAGTCATCTCAGAGGACTTAACAAAACCATATCTGGAAATGTAAAATTATAATATGCATTCATTCTTTCATTCAGTAATGTTTATCTTTATGTTAAAGATGAAAATTTTATACTTGTTTCTTTGATCCTAGTGTTACTGATTAATTGGTATAGTTATTATTACGTTGTCTTGTGCTGTGAGCTCCTCCTTCCTGTTCTGTAACTTGTGATGCAACACTGAAATATCATCCCCACTGTGGGACAAATAAAGGATCTCTTCATCTTAATCTCATCCTCTTTGTTATTCAGTTTTTTGGTCTTGGGGTGTGGCAATCTGAGCTGCCAGATAGTTTGTGACTTCATGTTCCTTACAATGGCAATAATCAAAAACAAAATATGATTCTGAATAAACCAACAAAAGGTCGGCACCATGACAAAAGCCGGAGCTACACAACACATTGCTGTTGTTTTAGTGAGAATAGTGGCACAGTCAGTGGCGTCTGCATACTGTAGGTCACCATAGGTCACCATGCACTCATTTCCTCATTATTTTAATGGTGTGAAGAGATAGTTGAGTTGGATTTTTGACACACACAATGACCTTTGAATGGCTCCACGCTGCATTCGCTTGGGTATACACAAGATGGTGTTTTTCAAAGGCCGACAGTTCTCTGAGTGGGTTTCTTTAATTTGCCATTGTTTGTACTTAGCTGTCAAACTGCTGTAACATTAGCTTTGAAATCACAGAAATAGACACAACATGCTCAGGTCATACACAGCGTGTTACATATGAAAGGACTTTGAAACAGTGGGATGCAACAAGTTGTTTGTAAGGGACAAGAAAACATGTATTTATTTCAGACAAATACAGGAGCATCACAGCTGTTAATAAACATAATAAAATCAAGATTTAACCCTAACCCTAAGGAGTGGGGAGATTGAGAAAAAAACGTGTTTAATCCCACCCCATTTTCCATTTACACGTTTTCTTATCTTCTACAAACTTAAAATTCAAGAAAAAATAATTATCCAGGGTGCTAAATTTAATACAAACAAGGAAACTGAGGAAACCAAGGAAAATATGGAATAATAATATAATAATAATGATGCAATGGATTGCATTTTGGATATTCAAAGACGCTTCACATGTCATTATTCATTCACTACAAAGCGTTGGGAACACAATGGGCCGCTGAGAAGATGTGAAAGACAGTAGAGGACGGACATATTGTTAGCCAAAAAACAGGAGAGGTTCAAGATTAAAATAGAGTGACACCAGAGGAAAACTGAAGATGAAACTTCTGGTAAGAAAAATCTCCTTAAACACCTTTAAAGACTGAACTCAATGGGTTCAAATGCAGAACCCATTGAGCTGTGATTCATTCGTTGAAAATGTGAGAGTGTGAAGAGTTTTTCTGCCCACTTAGATGAACCAGAGCTGCCTTACACCTCACTTTGACCTGGGTGAAGAAACTAAGCACCTCTGTATAAAGGTTTGTGTCAGACTGGTGAATCAGTCTCTTCCAAGGAATCAATACACAGCCTTAACAGAACAGTCTTTCTTCTCGTTTGTAATATTTGTAATTTTGCTGCCCTGTCCACACGAAGTCAAGCTCAGGCCTAAACGCAAAAATACTTTATCAATCCAGTGTATCGTCCATACGAGGCCGGCGTTTTGGGGGGGTGTAAACGAAAATTTTTGAAAGTAGGTCCCAGAGTGGAAAGATTTCAAAACTCCGTATATGCCGCTCCGTGGTTACTGCCTCTCCGCAATGTATCTGAGACGCTTGCGTCATCGCCCCGCCTCTTGTTAAAGCACGCATGCGCCGCACTCAGAAAATAATGACAACAACAATGTAGCTTGTTGGTTTTGTAATCCAGTGCGACCCGAAGCAACAGTTCAACCTCATCGTCCGTCCATACTAATGTAGTACCAGCTCGCCCACTCGCCATGTTGTCTGTTTACAAAATTCTGCGCATGCCCAGTTCCTGTCACGGAAGTTTGGGCTTGATCCCGTCATTGCGTCACAGCGCCACCAACAGGTCTGGCATAGTTTCACAGCGTTTTCAGGCGTATTGACTACATTCATATGGACGCACACATTTACTGAGCTAACTCCGTGTTTACAGAAAAAGTTTCTGAAATTATAAGCGTTTTGTCTTCGTGTGGATATAGCCTTAGAAAGGTGCGAGGGCAACACTTCTTGACCAGGGTCGAAAAGAG